GGATCCTTCTCATTGGGCTGAGTTGTCCAGATATCAATCCAAACTGGTGATATGAACAAGGCTTTTGGGGGGCAAATTACCGGAACTATCTCCAGAAAACAGGGTATTTGGCGCAGGGTAGGCAGAAAGGAGAGGATGAAGGTGACCCCTCAGGATCTACTGGAGAAAGACCGGGAAATCCTAGAGGAGCTGCTGCCCCCGGTACACCATTTTCGTTAATTACCTCAATTGTGGCTGTGATCCCCTTAATGAGAAACACAACTTTACTTCTAAGCGGGCAGTGAGGCTGGCGAAAGCTGAAACCTGAAAATCAGCAGATCCAGGGCTGCATCCAGCCCTTCCATTGAAATTAAGCCGCATCCAGAGCACAGGGAGAGGACTCCAAATAGCTTCAGACAGCAGCCCGCCATGCAGGCCCTCGCCAGGCACCGGATGGACACTCCTCGGACTCGTCAAGAGAGGCCCAAATCACAAGTGCTCATTTCAATAACACAAGAAAATAAACATGGGGCTTATTTATAGCACAGGAAAGGGACTGGGGCAAAAGAACTGCTCATTTGGTAATCCACCTTGACGGGGCCGGACAGGATCCAGACCCCCAGGCTCTCTGGTAACAGGGTGAGCAGAAATAGGGGCCGGAAGAGGGCTGGCTGCCAGCACCACCAGGCATGATCTGGTGAAAGGCCTGGTGAAGAGAAGGGGAGAGACCTGATACACTGTTCGTCTCACCAACCCAGGTCTAAGTGCTCTGGCCGTCTCTAATTTCTAGTTGAGGAAACCAAAGCATGGGCGTGAATTCCCTCCAGGTCAGGGAAGGGCCAGAGTACAACTCAAGAGAAGGTGCTGGAGAAAAGGAAATGCAAAAGGTCCCTGTATCCTCCATGCACCGAAGAAGATGGGGTTGTAGAACGTGCATCTGTGGCTGGAACTAAAACACACACGCTTGGCGTCCTAGGCCACTGATGGCCTCACACTGCCCTACAGAGCCCAAGAACTCCTGCCAGGATGGGGGCTTCTCTGACCAAGTCAACCCCAACCATCTCCTGGGTCTACCACGTGGCCTGGCAAAGAGCACGTTTTCATAAATGAATGGATGAACAGCTGTAATAATGGGACGACTTGAATCGATGCTCTTTACCTCACCTGGATTGGTACCTATTTGGGTGTAGTAGCCAATGATATGCATGTGCAGTTCCATACAAATGCCCCATTGGATACACTTTGAAGGAGGGCATGGGGGCTCTGCACGGGGGCACAGTCCGACTGGTGGCTTTAGTCTAAGACACACACATCGCACTCTGTTGGCAGAGCTCACGAGGCTGTGGACAAGATGGGGCTTTGCTGAGGAAGCCTCTGGAAGACACAGCTGCCTGAGAACCAGCTTGTCTTCCACCTGATAGTTCTGTGGCCTTCAGGGGGAGTGGGGTCCCGCTGGCTGAAAGCACAGGACAGGAAAACGCTCTGCCCTGAGAAGGCTGCAAACATGGGGAAACACAATGCCAGGCACAGATGAGGGTGACTTCACTATTTCTTGGAAAGGTGAGAGGCCTGTAGTCCTGGGAGAGGAACAGACCTTTCCTAGTCACCTTCCCCCACTGCCAGAAATGGTGAGCCAGAAACTGCACAGCCATGGCGCCATGGGTCTGCACAGCCCTGCTGCCTTCCTGGGGAGCTGGGGAGATGCAGCCCGGAGCTCCATCAAACGGAGGGGAAGGGAAGCTTTGGTCTGGGCTTGGGACTCCCTCACCCAGTCTTCAGATGAACTCACAGCTCTACCCTAAGCGGGGCGCCTTACCAGCTGAGTGGGTCCTGCCTGCCTGCTTTTGCTCTGCCAGGAGCAGGTCTGACACATGGTCAGACCATGCAAGGCAGGTATAATGAGGACAAACACTGGCCCTGGCTTTACTCATAAGTAGAGAATGGATACCGACCAAACACAGGCCGAGGATAAGACCCAGGGCTGGGACAGAGCTCAGGGGTGCGGCGGTGGTTTCAGATGCCTGCAGGCCCTTTGCAGTGGAGAGCTCAAGTTGCTTCCAAAGTCTCCCTGGACGGAAGCTGCCGGCCAACACGGTCAGCACGCCTGCCAAAACTGCTCCTCGGGTGTGGCTGCAGGAGGTCTGGGGCCAGTTCCGCCTTCTCTGTCTCTGCCTCTCTGTGCCAGGGCTGTTGTGGCTTCTCTTGCTGCCACAGAAGACGACCTGGGCCAAGACAAGTGGAAAAAGCCGCCTATCCCAGAAGCAGCAACAAAGTCAAGAAAGCCCAGCAGGCCCAGCACGGGTGGCTGATGGGAAGCCTCTGAAACCCAAAGCTTTGCCCTATCAGCTGGGTCCCCCAGGGTCTTCTGACTGCAGAGCCTGGAAGAGCCTTCCCAGAGCCCAACTACCTCCAAAACCCGGCCTCTGCTTGTCTACTTCTCAACTGCTACCTTGGCTGAAAACCCTCAAAGGGGCTTGGCTTTTAACCCAAAATCACAACTTTAGAACCTGCGGCTTGACACATGCTATCTCAGTGATGGAATACTCCCATCTCTGTGCTGGGCTGGTGCCTGTGAGACTACCAGCTCAGGAAGAAGCTGGGGTCATGGGGTCATGAGCCCCCTCGGCCAATGAGCATAGAGAGCGCGCGTCTCATCCGGCTCCCAGGCCTGCGCGGCACAGGCCTGCAGGATGGCCACGCTCTTCCAAAGGCAGCAGAGAAATCAGCACTTAAAAACCACGAGATCAAAGCACAGTTAGAAGCAGATGAGGCCTTGGCAGAGCGGCCAGAGTAGTCAGAGCTTTGAACTTGATGACACTAGCAAGGATGGGAGACAGCAGAGCGTCACGGGCAGGAAAGAACCAGAGGTTCTGAGGACGCACATTTCTGTTTTCCTCTTTAGTTCTCCCAGAAAAGGAGGTTTTTGCCTAAACACGTGAGGCTTGAGATAAAAATTTTAACAACCATATAATGTTAATCAGCGAACAAGGTCTTTCCAACCCAAGCATTCCAAGCAGGCCTATCCCAGTGAGGTCCCTGGGGTGAAGGCCAGGACCAGAGCTGGTTCAAGCTCGTCATTTCTGCAGGCCGGTAAGACGTGATTTCTTTAAAAAGATTCTTCATCTAAAGCCAGCTGTTGTCTGCTGTAGGCCAGAACATGACATCTTAATTAGCATCACTGTTCCTCTTCTGGCATCCCAAGGGCAGACAGTGCTGACCCAAGCTCATGGGCGAGGCTTGCTTGTGGGAGGCTCAGAGATCCACAACCGGGGGAGTGGAGTCTCAAGCCCCCTCTGAATCCGTGAGTCATGGTCACCTGTCACATGCCTGCCCTGAATCTCTCCTGTGACCTTTCTACCTGCCTTTCATAGGGTAGAACCTTTGAGGTTCCAAGTGCCTAGGACATCATACTCCTTCTATAACATAAATAATGTTCTGCTACGTTGCAAGATCTAGTTCTCAGTACTTCTGGAATAGGGAGGTGCTTTAAATGGAGTGTTAATGCCTTTGAAGTTCAAGGACTAAGAGGGTGATAAAATCACACAGATCCCTGGAGCTCCCAGTGCTCTCAGACGAGAGTTGTTCTTCCAAAATCAAAGGGCTAACATGATTTTTTAAAAGGGAAAAAATATTTACCCCAAGGACGGGGAAATGGGCTTGAAAGCAGCCACTACTACAGTGCAAGCAGTGAAGAACGCAGGGCAGAAACACCTGGAGAAGCCAGAGTGCTGTGGTGCACACACACTAGCACAGGTGCAGGCTTTTAGCAAGGACGGCCACATGGGTCCTCCCCTGTAGCCGCCTCACCTCTGGGAAAATAAGCTTGGGAACTCTGGAGAGGTTAGGGGTGCTCCCGGTCCTTTGCCAACTGCTGTGGTCTGGGCGGCAACAGAATTTCCTTTTCCTTGCTATGAACAGAAGGCCAAAATGCCTTTCCATAGCTGCTACTGACCAGCATGTTATCCAAGCCAACAGCATTTATCGAGCACCCATGTCTGCAGCTGTAAGGCAGTGGACACGTCACAGCTTTGGTTTCTGCATCTGCTAAATGAACATACTAGATGACATGAGATGATCGCCTGTCTCTTCGGACAGTCATAATCTGGGATTCCATCACTCATTAATATCAATGAATTAATATTAACAAGGGTGAAACTCATGATGTCCACTTTCAGTGTGGCTACTTCTGAAATTTCCTTTGACCTCTCAGGGTTGGTGGAGCACATTCAAAGTGCCTCCATGAAACTACAGACAGCAACTGTTCACCTACATGTCACTCAGCAGAACAATGGACGGTGTATGAGTGACTTTGATGGCATGCGAATAGGTTTCAGTAATTCTATCCATATTAATTCAGCAAATTGTGATGTATTTTGTGTTCTGGGGACATATGTTATGGCTAAAGCCCAAACTGTGGCTAATCTTAATATTAGAGCCAGATAAATCTGTTTCGAATCCTTAACATTTAACATTTGCCAGAGTAGATTTGTTCATCAACTGGGCTTAGAGAGGTATAATTCACACATGTGCAGTATTAGTAAATGCTGAAATTTAATGATTTAAATAGACCGGCAACTGTTGCAAAGCAGTTGTTACCGCAGCATTTAACGTTAGCCAGAACCTCCCTGGCTAATGTTAAGTTTATACCAAAAGAATGAGGAGAATTGTGGCATCCCCTTGGGGTGGGGAGTCACAACTGCATCAACTTTTACGATAGGTCCCAGCTAAAAGACTGAGTGTACGGCTAGGAGAGGCTGGTTTTGCCCTGCAAATACCTGAAATACTGACTAGGTCTAATCAGGAAGCAGACTCCCTGGAGGTTTCTGGAGCCATCTGCTCTTGGAGCGTTCATGCTCTGGGCCCTTCCTGTGCTTGATGCAATGGCACTAGATATCTTTCCTGGGTCTGTGTCTCCCCAGACACGGGCAGAAGGTTGTTGTGAGACCAAAAGATGAGGTTAAATATACCAAAGAAGAAAGATGGTTCCACGGACCACCAAGAATCAGTGTTCAAGACAGCAAAAAAGGAATAAAAAATAATTTTAATCATATCAAAAAGCCTAACCAGAGAGGAATAGTTCATGGAACTCATAGGATCCTGACCCAGTGGTCAGCTCTCTTCTTCCACACGAGCCCAGCGCCCCAGGTCCCAAGGCATCGATCAAACCCCACCAAGATGTTTGTGTTTTGCACCAAATACTGGGCTTGGCCATTCCTCCAAAGAATTCATTGTTGTGAAATAACTACAGGTGTGGTAGGGGTACCTTTTTCAGGATTCCCCAAATCTACAATGGGCTGATACGGTTTCTCTTCTCCAGCAATCTTCTGGTCAGTGAGGTTTCCTTTCAGATTGTTAAACTGGAACTGAAAATGAAGGGAGTCTGAGCTGGATTTAAATCTGGAAAATGTGCAAAAGCTTTGCTTTGGTGTTTTCAAAAAGAACCCACCGGAGATCATATGAAACACAAGGACAGAGGCTGCACTGCTCAAGGTGCTTAAATGTTCTTTCTGGGTTCCTGTTCCTGAGGAAGTGGCCAGGTGAGTGCATGCCAAGATCCAGAAGGCCACCTTCCACCCTAACCCCTGACCTGCTGTCACGTGCTGGGAGCCCCAGTCTCTCCTCTGCCAAGCTTCAAGTTCAGCCCTTTATCCGGGGCACGGCTCACAGGCTGCCGATGTTGGGAAAGCTCTTCAGTTTTTCAGGAAAGTCGTCTTTGTACAGGACAGGGTCCGCGCGATGCTCCACCACCTTGAGAGGCATGGTCCCAAAGACTGAAGCAAACTTGTTGATGCACTCGGACCTGTGGGGTTCAGGGTGGGGAGGCAGGGAGAAAAGAGGAAATGTCAAGAGGCTGAGCGACGACAGCACGTGACGTAGTGTTCGACACTGACAGAAAGGCTCAAGCAGCCAGCCTGCACCACGAGGATGAACGAGGTGACCGAGGTGCTCTGGCTATTAGCTCAGCGGGAGCGAGTGAACAGGAGATGATGCCGTCAGGGCCATGAGCCTGCGGGGTCAGAATGCCTCTTCCCCTCCCCCCCAGATTCCAGTCATTCCTCCAGCTCGGGGGAGCAGGCCTCAGGGGGAGCAGGCCTCAAACCACGGTGGATCAGCTGCCAGCAATTCTTAACCCCATCTCTACCAGCTAGGAGAAGGCGAAGGATGGAAGGGGAAAAGTGACTCGGGTCTGAGCTTCCGCTTACTGGGGTTTTAAAAGGTAGGAGGGAGGCTCTGACCCATGGAGGAAAGGGAGGCGAGGATAGACGAGGCAGTGAGCCCCCACGTCAAACAATAAACACTTCCTTCACCCCAACAGGTGAAGAGGGCCTGGGAGGGCACCTCGGCAACTGCCCGTGACCTGCAGGGCTCTTCGAGAGAGTGAGGGGCCCGGGGCCCTCGGCCCTCCCACGCTGGAACCACAGGTAACTACCAACCTGGTGCAGCACCACATGGCACTGCTGTGGGAGGGGAGGGGGTCCCCATCTCCATCCCCCCAAAGCCCATTAGCACCCTCAGAGGGGAGCAGGTCAGGCGCCTTTAGCTTGGAGAACGGTTCTGGTCAATCAGGCCAATGGAGGGTGACAGCTGGGTCATGAGGACACAACAGCCTCAGACCCGAGGGAGAAAACGCTGGCAAAGCCGCTTTTGAAGCCCAGGGGCCCTCGGGATGGATGTCAGAAAGGTCATCACTCTCGCTCCTCAGCCCACAACACTTGAGAGAGCCTCAAGGAGACCAACCCGAGGCAGAACCTTCCACTAGGCAGGAGCCAGGTTCAGGTAGACCAGAGAAGGCCTTCCCATCCGCAGAGATATTGTAAGCATCATGTCCAATTATTGCAGCTGGCACATTTTTATTCCAGTGCTTTAAGTTTCAGGAAGAAACTCGTTAATAAATGAGACTGTCATCGATTCTCTCCTGGTCATTATATTTCTAAAAAATTTGTTACTTTTTCATTTTGAGCTTTTAACTGTTAATATCATCAAGGCTACCAATACCACAAAGCAACAACTACTATTTGTTATGTGTTCCAAGCTGTGTTAAAAGTGCTTCACATGTTTTAATAACTCATTTAATCCTCACAACAATTCTATGGGGCAGGAACAGTTATTTCCATTTTATAACGGGAAGACTGATGCCAGGCATGGTGGCTCACACCTGTAATCCCAGCACTCTGGAAGGCAGAACTAAGAGGACTGCCTAAATCCAGGGATTCAAGACCAGCCTGGGTCACTATAATAAACCAAAAAAATTAGCCAGATGTGGTAGCGCATGTCTGTGGTTCCAGCTACTAGGAAGGCTGAGGTTGAAGGATTGCCTGAGCCTAGCAGGTCAAGGCTGCGGTGGCCATGTCTGAGCTACTACTGCACTCTAGCCTAGGTGACAGAGTAGACTCTAACTCAAAAAAAAAAAAAAGAATAAAAATTAAAAAGAGGAGGCTAAGACTCACACACAGAAAGACTAAATAACACATGCGAAGGTCAAATAACTAGAAAGTGTCAGAGCCAAACTCAGGCCTCCTGACTCCCGAGGTTACAGTCTTCATGGGAAGATACAAAACTTATTTATTAATTATGGGGTCCAACGGGAAGGGCTGGAAATTAACAACTGTTGAGCACCTATTATGTACCAGATAATTTACATGCTATGTAAATATTCCTAATAAGTCTCCTGGGTTCCTTAAAGTATTCTTCCCCCATCCTCACCATCCCCCTACCCAAGGCTTAGAGTAAGTAGCCTCATGTTATATACTAAGAAATCAAGGTCCAGAGAGGTTAAGGAACTCACCCAAGGACCCACAGTTAGAAAGTGGTGGAAATGAGCCGGGCTCGGTGGCTCAGACTGTAATTCTGTAATTCTGTGCCTTGGGAGGCTGAGGTGAGTGAATTGCCTGAGCCCGTGGGTTCGAGACCCGCCTGGGCAACTTGGTGAGACCTCATCTCTACAATAAACCAAAAAATTACCCGGGCGTGGTAGCGCCCGCCTGTAGTTCTGGCTACTTGGAAGTCTGAGGCGGAAGGATCGCCTGGAGCCCAGCAGGTTGAGGCTGCAGTGGCTGGGAGCGGTCACTGCACTCCAGTCTGAGCGACAGAGTGAGACTCCAACTCAAAAAAAAAAAGAAAGTGGTGGAAATAGGTTTCAAATCCAGGCTTGCACTGGCCACAGACCCTGATCTTTGAGCTACTATTGACCACAACTCTCCCAGTGCCTGATCCTCCCTCTAGCTGACAGTCTTCGAGACTTGGGGAGAGGGGGTGGAGTTCCTAGGTTCCAAACTGAAGGGAGATGGAGAAAAGACCAACGAGCTGTAACTAAATGATGTGACCCAAGCATGGGACCACAGCTTCAATTGTGGGGTCAAGGCTTTGGCAGGCAGAGTCCGCTCTCTCCAGGGTTTTGCCTCTGACAGTTGTTCTGCCTGTAAACATGCAGGTTCTTCTAGTTTCTCACTCTCATGCATGCAGAGCTCTGCAGGGCTCTGCCACACTGGTATAGGTTACTAGTGAGTAGTTATCCAAGAGGAGTTCTGGCTCTTGGCAGAGGACAGTGGCCACCACCCCGGGGACAATATCGAGGACGATGTCTCCTTGAACTAGATCTGCCAACAGGCATGGACCACAGGCCAGAAGTCACTGGGGCTCAGGCAAACCTGATTTGCTGACAGCTGCCCCTGGGTAACTCGGGGCGAGCAAGCACTTCACTTGCTGTTTCTTTACGCAGTCTCGCGCGAGAGAAGACCGAGTGTGGCAGGCTGCTAGTGGCCCGTGGGTTTTTCGGTCAGGGGTCCGGCTGCCACGTCCGTGACCATTTTCCTGCTCTGGTTTTCAGGTCAAGTACAAACATACTAGGAACCACCAATGTCCATCCATCTCTGATGTCACAAAAGTGAGTCTGGGGAAGAGAATGCTAATGGTTTTCTATTTTCCTTTCAAACACATACCACCCCTTAAAAGTCACTGGAAGCCTTTAGAACCACCGCTGGGGACACTGGGAAGGAGCCTAATGCTGCCAGGCATGTGCCCGGGCCTCATGTATTACTAGTTCAATCATCCCCAGCATATCACAGGCTTGGTACTGAGATGCTCAATAAATGCTTGTTGAATCTATTGTAATTGAACAGATGAGTATCTCTGTTTTAGGAGGTGAAAAGACTGCAGCTCAGATAAGGAAAAACCAACTTCCTCAGGTCAGGCAGTGAATAAGTGGCAAGTTCATGACTTGAACAAAGATTGGCCTATCATAGTACCAAAATCCCATGTTCTTTTTCTTCAGTCAGCGCTGTCTGCCATATCGCCCTGAGGTTGGCGAAGATCCTGGTCACAGTCTCCTGGCTCTTAAAGAACCGAAAGCAGCTCCTGGAAACGGAAGCGGGCTGGTAAAAGCTGCTCTCCTCTGCAACTGAGACTTCTGACCCCAGGCCCCACACACAGGGATGAACAAACTGCTGAACCCCCAAAACCAACCCAAGGTCATATACTTGCCAAATGGTCACGTTCACTGTTTCATGTGAAATGTCCATTCTGCCAAGGGAACTATTAAAAAATAAAACAGCTGGCAGTGGCTCCCTTAAGGCCAGAAGTTTGTGACCAGCCTGAGCAACACAGTGAAACTCCATCTCTAAAATCAATCAACCAATCAAACAACTCTGCCAGCTTCAGAGCCACCTCTTCATTCTCCCAGGATAGCTTAAATCCCATCTTCTTCCCTCTCAATTTAAATGTTTTATTTAATAGTTCAGTGACCCAATCTTTAATTCAAATAATTTTGCTCCCAGATGCTAATTTATTTCAAGATCTAATTTCCTCTATTCTCTATTAAATGTCACAAAAGGGTTGTCAACATTCATTAACTTCTCACCACTGACTCAGAACCTACAACCCTTTGGCTCCATTGCTCTATGACGGTACTATTATTTAAAGATAGGGACTTGCTATGTTGCCCAGACAGGAGTGCAGTGGTTATTCACACAGGTGCAATTATATAGTACACTATAGGCCTTGAACTCCTGGACTCGGGTGATCCTCCTGCCTCAGCATCCTGAGCAGCCGGGACTACAGGTACCCACCACCACACCAACTACTGCTTTTTTAAAGGCGACTGATGACCATTTAATTCAAAGACCTTTCCCCAGTCTGCGTGTTCCTTGCTCCTCCCTTGCCTCAGAGCCCTGTACATCTGGTTCTCTCCTGCCCTTTCCAGTTGCTCCTTCTCTGTTTTGTTACTCTCTCTGTCTCCTAAATGTTAGAATTTCTCAATTGTGCCCTTTTGCTTTTTACTTCTGTCAACTACTGTCCCCGAGCAGGTGGCTTCCAAATATAGTTGGCCATCTGCATCCGCTGGTTTCTGCATCTGTGGATTCAATACCGTGGATCAAAATATCTGGAAAAAATCGCATCTATATCAAACATGTACAGACTTTTTAATGGCATTATTTAAGGCCACCAGCAACCTGCCACACTCTGTCTCCCCGGACCTGCTCCAGCCCAGATCCCCTGTGTGAAGACTAGCATAACAGCTGATTATACAGCATTTGCGCTGTATTAGGTATTACAAGTAATCCATAGATGATCTGAACAGTAGGGAAGGATAGGCGAAGGTTATATGCAAATCCTATGCCATTTTGTATACACACACACACACACACACACACACACACACACACACACAGAGCGTGGGACCCCCCCAAATCCCTCACCTTATTCTTCTACAACTTCACTCATGATGAAAATCTCCTCCTCACTGATCACGCTGCTAGGGTACACCCATTCATCCCAAACCCTCCCCTAACTAGCATCTCCTGCTAACTATGTCATTCACATTGGTAAAGGTACTACCATTCTTCTTGACTCAAAACCTAAGAGTCCTCTATCAACTCCTTCTCCATAACCCTCCATATCTAGTGAGCTGGAAACCAAGTTCTGGCACATCTTCCTTTGGAAAAGAAATCTTCTGAAATCCAATTTGTTCCTTTATTTCCACACTTAGCTTAAAGTTCAAAGCTCTTGTAACTGGTCTTCTTTCTCCAATCTCTTCATCCTCAGTTCCATCCTATGCACGACTTCCAAATTAATCTCAAAGTGATACTTTGATCAAGCTAGCCTCCTGCTTAAAAACCCTCCATGGCTTACCTGGGTTCTTCATTTGGGGATTCAAAGTCCTTGTATCTGGCACAAACAGGCCCGCATTCTAGGCTCCAGCCACACTGAACTTATTACTTCCCAAGTACACCTTGAACTTGCTGATCAGGCACCTCTAACCAACCACCCAGTCTCCTCTTCTAGTCCAAGCTCTACTGGCTGGGATTCTAGTGATTTCTGAAGGCTCATTTCAGACGCTACCTCATTCACAAAATTACTCTCGACAATCAACTTTGCAAGAAGTTACCTCTTTTTCATTTTATTGATTATTGTCCTCTGAGCCACCCTCAGGGCACTTATCACAAACAGCTTTAAGTTTTATATACATATAAATATATAAATGCACGTTTGTGTGTGTCTACATGAATATGTTGCTTTTGCTACTTGTAGACTCTGATATGGATTCAAGCCTAACAACATCTAGGCAGCTGCCTCTTCTATTTTCAGAAGTCTCTTCCAAAGAGGAAGCATCCGTATCTCCCCGATTACTTTCTTCAGTGTTTGATAATAAGCATATCGAAGTTAAATCTCCCTTGCTGCATTTTCAACCTCTTTACAACGTTATGACCTCACTGGTGCTAGAGAAGGGTTGTTTAGCCTCAGCATGAACTTCAAGGCCATTATCAGGTCAATTTTTTTCCCCTCCGTATCCTTTCCTGGACCATAGATCCCCACTATTTAAACTCAGCCCAACCAATACCCACTTAGCCGACTGCTAAGAATTCTCCCCAGACATAAAGAATGAGGTAGGTTTAGGGAAAAAGACATGAACAGACACTTCTCAAAAGAAGATACACGGGCAGCCAACAGACACATGAAAAAGTGCTCAGCCTCTCTAATCATCAGAGAAATGCAAATCAAAACCACACTGAGATTTCACCTAACCCTAGTAAAAATGGCCATTATTAATAAAGCAAAAGACAGCAGATACTGATAAGGATGCAGAGAAAAGGGAATGCTTCCACAGTGCTGGTGGGAATGCAAGCCGGTTCAACCTCTATGGAAACAGTGTGGCAATTCCTAAAAGAATTAGAAACTGACCTTCCACAATGACCCAGCAACCCCCCTACTGGGGATATACCTGGAGGAACTCAAATCATTCTATGAAAAAGATACCTGCACACGCATGTTTATTGCAGCATTATTCACAATAGCAAAAACATGGAACCAACTGTGCTGCCCATCAAAATCGGACTGGATAAAAAAAGTGGTACATATATACAACAGAAGAATATACAGTCATAAAGAAGGACAAAATCATGGACTTCACAGCAACTTGGATGGATTTAGTCTATAATACTCAGTGATCTATCACAGAAACAAAGAACTGAGTACTACACGCTCTTGTTCATAAGCAGACCCTGAATATTTAACATAATACTGTAAGAAAGGGATTGGCAGTAGCCAGAAACTTCCAGGGGAGGGAGGGGCGTAGGCATAGAACATCAATAAGGGTACCTGATCTCAAACCAGGCAAAGTGGGAACCAAAGGGAGGCCCAAACTTTACCTGTACGATGTCCACGTGTATACCTAACCCTGAATTGTAACTCACATCTCTAAAATAAAATATGAAAAAAAAAGGCGTACAATTAGTGTCTCTTTCAATGAGCTATGGCAGTTAATGTCACAGCCCTGTGTAATATTTATGATACCAGGGACAGATATTTCCAAAATCATAATAGTATATTATTTCACATCAACAGTTGGCAAAAGTCATGTCTTTTGAGCAAGATGTTTACATATGAGAGAGATAGAGAGATTATTTAAAGAACAAGAAGGAATAAAACATTAAAGAAGAATCCAGGCCAACTGAAACAACTTTCTACACAAAAAGTCCTCCAGGCTTGAAAGATTTTAATATACTCAATATATTTCAGAAATAAATTCTGCATGCAGATGTGTAAATCTGAACTAGGTCTCTCATTCTAAAAAGTTAATAGAACATTATCAGAGAGCACGTTGGTCCCCTTACAAGTGCTATAGGGACTTCAGTTTGCCACCTTGTGTAAGGGGTTGCCTTTTGAAAGAACAGGATTTGATTTGGGCACTCCAGAGCTTGGGAACTTCTGGGTGCAGGTGAGAACCATGAGGCCTAGTAAAGACTAGGTCAGTCTTGGGGAAGACACCCATCTCCCACTCCTGTACTCACCTAAAAGGCCTAGATCACATTCCATACAAAGGTGTGCTTTGTAGAGTCACTGAATCAAAATGAAGGGAGCATTCCAGAGCTGTCTTGCCTTCTCTGCACGTAAAGAGTGTTGCTTTCGACCCTGCTCTTGGCAGGCGTTTCCACAGTGACAGCAAAGATAATTTGCCTCTGGTGGGTTTGGTTTAATTCTTTCTGATCAAGTTTTTACTATAACATGGAGCTATCACCCTGAAAAACAATCCACTATTTCCTTGGAATTAACCAGCTTCCACTCAAATGACTGTAGATGGTTAACTGCTTAGTCCACATGGAGAATTTGGCTTCTGGAGCTTAAGACCAGCTATGTTTAAGACCCTTCTAGCCATTACAAATTGAGTGAGTAGCATTCCAAATTAATTCTTTGGGTGACCTGGGCTTGAACTAACCAAATCCCACAGTGCATATGGAGGTGACTATGGCTACCAGCTGCTGTCCTTATATCTTCAGCAAAGCCCCATAAACAGGCCCAAGGCAGGAAATGGAGATCAGAGGCAGGGCGAACTTGGAGGCTCACTCACCTCTCCACCATGTGTGTCTGGTCTAGCGAAAGTCCGTCGATGGCGGTACACTCAGGACACTTGAATTTCTTTCGTGGGGTTACCTGCCAGAGAAGGACAGAAACACTCCTGACTGTCAGGACCAAAGACATAAGGTCACGCTGTGCCACCACTCTGTCTGCGCCTGTGCTGTAAGCTGAGATGCCGCGCGTGCACACACACCTCGCCATCCTCCATTCCGTCCTGTCTGGCTCAGCCCCCAGCAAAACTCACAAGGGCCCAATAAAAAAGGCTTGGAGGGCTTTTGCCTTCTGTAACTGGAAAGAAGTGGTGATGACAAGCTCCTTAATTCCTGTTTAATGACTGTTTTCTCACTGCCAAGGTCCTTGTATAAACACCATTTGTTCTTGCAGCCATAAGGGCGATGAAATACAGCTTCCCATAACTTTCGCCGTAACCTTCGTTCCAACAGGCGCTTTCTCCTCCCTCGGCTAATGGCAAATGCTGCATGCAGCACCACGCTCTTGAAGATGCCAGGTTATTCCGCAATTCCCTTGAATCAAGAAAAGATTCATGGGTCCCTTACACTCTGAACCCTTTCCCCTGACTCCCCGCCACCCTCCCAAATCTTAAACTTCTAGCGATCTTGTTCTAGCAAGCTCAGGAGAAGTTGCTACCCCAACCTAGTGAGGACAAATACACAGGGAAGAGGGAGGGAAAGCAAGCTAGGTAACTAACTAGGCCCAGGCTAGGAAGCATGGAGACATGGGCAGGACTGTCCAGGGCAAGTAGCCACAGCTAGGAACATTTTGAAGGATGCTGAAAAGCAATTTATATTCTCAAACTTCCCTTTCAGTCAGTCATTCACTGAGGTATTCAGAGAGCTGAGGGCTAGTGTGAGTACTGGTACACATTTGGTGAGCACAGACAGTGATTTTTCCTCTTTCCTTGGTCACTCTGTTTAATCTGGCTTCTCTCATTAATTAGCAGCAAGAGGAACTAGTGGAGAACACCATGCCATGCTTCCAGCAGAAGCTCCCCTAGGAATCTGGCCTTCCAAGGCAAATTTCTAGGGGAATCTGGCATTGCCCATTTCCACACATGGAATTCTGATCTAGAAGGAAAAAGGTCTAGATAAGTCTACCCATATAAAGCAGCGTAATTTCTCTATAGATCTAGGGGCTTTATTATTATTATTATTTTCTGAGTTGAAGTCTCACTCTGTCATCCAGGCTGGAGTGCAGTGGCACACTCGTGGCCACCACAGCCTTGACTTGCTGGGCTCAGGTGATCCTTCTGCCTCAGCCTTCCAAGTAGCTATAACTACAGGCACATGCCACACACCTGGCTATTTTTTTTTTTACTTATTGTAGAGATGAGATCTTGCCAAGTTGCCCAGGTTGGTCTGGAATCCATGTGCTCAGGCAATCCTCTTAACCTCGGCCTCCAAAATGCTGGGATTATAGGTATGAGACACCATGCCTGGTTTAGAGGTCTTATTTGAGCAAAGTCTAAATTCCAAGAATAAACAGGTATCTTCTACAGATACAAAGACCTCCCATAGGATATTTATGTAATCTCAGCTTTAATGTATTAAGGGAAAGGTACTTTTAAAGGCTGGTCATTTTTTCCCAGTCTGTGGATTGTCTCCCTGCTCTCTTGATGGTTTCTTTGGCTTTGCAGAAGCTTATCAGTTTGATGATATCACACTTGTCTATCTTATCTCTTATGGCATGGGCACTTGGTGTTTTGGTCAGGAATTGGTTGCCAGTTCCAGTTTCCATAAGGGTGTCTCCTGCATTTTCTAAGGTTCTTATAGTTGAAGGTTTTATGTTTAGGTCTTTGATCCATTTAGAGTTGATATTTGTGTATGGTGATAGGTAGGGGTCTTTTTTTAATCTTCTTCATGTGGTCAGAAAGTTTTCCCAGAACCATCTACTGAATAGGTTCTCCTCTCCCCAGCGGTTGGTGGTGGAGGCTTTGTCAAAGATGAGTTGGTTGAGAAATTGAGGTTTTGCTTCTGGAATCTCAATTCTGTTCCATTGGTCTATATGCCTATTCTTGTACCAATACCAGGCTATTTTGATTATTGTAGCTTTATAATAAAGTTTAAAGTCTGGGAGTGTGATACCTCCCGCTTTTTTTTTTCCCCTGAGGATTGTTTTGGCTATCTGTGGTTGCTTATGTTTCCAAATGAATGCCTGCATTGTCATTTCCAGGTCTGAGAAGAATGTTGCTGGCAATATAATGGGTATTGAGTTAAATCTGTAGATTGCCTTGGGTAGGATGGACATCTTAACAATGTTGATTCTTCCAATATATGCCAACTTATGTCTGACAAAGGCCTAACATCTAGGATCTACAAGGAACTCTCAAACAGCCCATTACAAAGTGGACAAAAGATATGAATAGACACTTCTCAAAAGAAGACATACGAGCAGCCAACAGATACCTGAAAAATGCTCAGCCTCACTAGTCATCAAAGAAATACAAATTAAAATCACACTGAGATACTACCTAACTCCAGTCAGGGTGGCGGCCATCATCGATACCTTCAAAAACAACAGATGATGGAGAGGATGCGGGAAAAAGGGAACACTTCTACACTGTTGGTGGGAGTGTAAACTAGTACAGCCTCTGTGGAAAATAGTTTGACAATTCCTAAAAGATCTAAAAATCGACCTTCCATATGACCCCACAATCTCTCTACTGGGAACATACCTGGAGGAACCCAAATCACTCTATGAAAAAGATACCTGCACACATATGTTTATCGCAGCATTGTGCACAATAGCAAAAACACGGAACCAACCATCCTGCCCATCAAGAAAGGACTGGATAAAAAAAGGTGGTACATATACACGATGGAATATTACACAGTCATAAGAAGGACAAAACCGTGAACTTCACGGCAACCTGGATAGACTTCGAGTCTATAATACTGAGTGATCTTTCACAGAAACAAAGAACAGAGTATTACATGTTCTCACTCATAAGTGGACCCTGAACAGTTATTGTAATACTGTAAGAAAAGGATTGGCAGTAGGTGGGGCGTGGGATTGGCAGTAATGGGAATCTGCGGGGGGCGGAGGGGGGCACACCTCATTAACAAAGGTACCTGCATAATGAACATTTGTATACATAACCCTGAATTGTACCCCACATCTTTACAATAAAAAAAAAAGCTGGTCATTGATATTTAAGAACACTGTTTAGGACAACCATAATTACATAATTGCACAGAGTGTACTACCTTCTCAGCATCAATTAAAAAATAAACTCATTTAGATAAACCTGAAGAACGAAATAGAAAGGGAATTGGATCCATGATCAAAAACCAAAACAAAACAAACCCAGCTACCTTAAGAAAGATGTAAACTCTATCCTTTAGTTAACAGGATTAGATTTCAAATCAGCTTTGAGAATTACACCTTTTCTTAACACACAATTTACAGCTTGACCACCATAGACTTTATCTCTAATTCTGAGGATTAAAAACTGTAACTAAAGCAACTGTACAGAAAGGAAAACATGTTTAAGTTGTCAAAGCCTAGCTTCAATTTTCCAGTGTGACAGCATCACTCAGAGAATCTTAAACCAAAAGGGAGTGCAAAGTGCATCAGGCAAATACTTCATTTATAGTTCCAAGAACCTCTTGGGCTCAGAGAAGGGAAACTTGTTCAAGGTCACACAGCAAGTCAGTGGCTGAGCCTCCTACCTTGATGACGGCTTTCCCCGTGACGTTAGCCACCAGGAAGTTCATGGCAATGTCTTCACAGTTCATGTGGGCATCCACCCAGTTCTTGATATCCCCGGGCATTTTGTAGGTATACAAGTAATTAAAATACTGTCAGGTGAGACAAAAAGAAGAAACCTTCAAACATCAGTTCCCTTGGGCTGATAAGTAAGGGGCAATGTGGCCACAGCAAAGGGACAAGCTTTCTCTCATAAGATTCATAACAGGCCTACCAGGAGGAAGGACAAAAGGAAGTATTGGAATGCTTTGGGACAAGGGACCAAGCATGCTTAATATGGTCATTCTTTCTCAAAGGTGCGTACTTTTTCTTTATTGTTTGTTTGAGTTGGAGTCTCACCCTGTCACCCAGGCTGGAGTGCAGTGGCACAATCACAGTTCACCATAGCCTCGGCCTCCTAGGCTCAAGTGATCCTTCCACCTCAGCCTCCCGAGTAGATGGGGCTACAGGTGCATGCCACCACACCCAGCTAATTTTAAAAAATTCTTTTTTTGTAGAGATGAGTTCTCACTAGGGTGTCTAAGCTGGTCTTGAACTCCTGGGCTCAAGTAATCCTCTTATCTTGGCCTCCCAAAGTGCTGGGATTACAAGCATGAGCCACAGGTGTATACTTTTAAAGGTAGAACAAAAATGAGGCAATTCTGAAACTACCATAAACTGTAGTTGGATGAAATAGTGTAGAAATTAATGGGTCAAAAAATAAAGTGTACAAAGTCTAGTACCCTAAATCCCAAGAATTATAAACCTTCGTTTTTGAGGTTTCTTTTTTTTCTTTCTTTTGCTAAGAATAAAAACCCATTTCTGGATCTAGAGCCCTGAAAAATATGGGGGCAGCAGTGCTGAGCTAACCACAAGCAATCGAGATACACATATGTTTATATATCTATACATAAATTAAATGAACTGTGCTGAGTTGAACAGATCGTTCTCCTGATTGCTGAAAACAGGCAAGTTTTTATTGTTTAATTAAACCATACACTCCCAAGGAGCACTCTGTCATTGAACTGAAGATTCTCAAGTCAAATGCATTTTCTCCAATCTCATGCTAATGAAAAAGAGTCAGAAACATGAAGTGATGATTCCCAGGAGAGAGAAAGTACAAAAGGTCAATAAATTCACAAAAGGAAATTCAACCTTAATCAAATCAAAGTTAAACAATAAGATACATTTTTACTTATCAAAATAGCTAAGTTTAAAATGTTTTAATGTATTTCATGCAAGAAAGGGTGTGGTACAAACAGCTTCATATTTTGCTGGTGGGAGTGGAAACCGGCACAGATAGTACTGATACCAACAGACAAATGCACCTGTGTCTCTATCTTTCTTCTCTGTCTCAGAGATGCCTACAATGTTCATTACCTTGGATATAATAATTCTGCTCCTAAGAATCTATCACAATGGTCACGAGTACAGTTATGAAAATGAACATTATTCATTATCTAAAATAACAAAAATTTAGAACTTTAAATATCCAGCAATGGAGAAATAGGTCGACATGATTTATGGAACATTAGTATAATGGTATTTTCACAATTATGTTAACAAATAACAATTTATGAAGAAATGATCATAAGAAAATGCTCACAATATAATATATTTAAAAAGCAGGCTAATGAGAATATTTGCAATGGAGTGTGTATATGTGTGAGTAAATAAAAAGCAAGCTAGAAAAAGGATCTAAACAATAATAATAGTCATCACTAAGTGATAGGATTAAGTCTTTGCTTCTTCATTTTACTGTTACGTGTTTTCGACTACGAGCATGTATTACTTTAAAACTAGAAAACCAACAGCGTTAGTTTTAAAGGAATATCACAAAACATGTTCTTTCTAAGTCCTCAGAGTAGAACATTTTCCTTAAACCCAGCAGCAAGTATGGCAAATTGGGCCAAAAACATGTATCAAACTCTCATTTTGTCAACATGGGCAGATTGGCCCCACACCTGCACGGCCCTTACCTTGTGATAAAAAGCCGCACCTGTGAGCACCATGGATACCTCGTTAGTCCACTCAGACTCATACTTCCACTTATTCATCTCATGGTCCCAGAGATGTAGACGGCCGGGGTAACCCACCAAGCGGTCAGGAAATTCCCGCCAGACCTAAGGACAGAAGCGCATGGACAATCAACTCCCAACTCAGACAACAGCCAATCACAGTGCTGAGTCATCCAAGCAGATATCGACAGACTCCCTGGGTTCAATTCATTAGAACCCAAGGTCACAATGGGCTTCTGAAGAAGTTCAACTGAACAGGTGCTAGGAATTCCGCCAATAGTCAAAGACAGATGCTGATTCTGACGTCCTCTAAATCTTCTTGTTCATGCTTGGAAATTTCAAATAATGAGGAGTAACAACTTATCAAGCTGGACCCAGATAGGTAATCACTTAATACATGATTAATAAAATAGGTTCCATGCTTAAGGAATGTACAAATGAAGAATAAATGAAACCCTACAACTCAACTGCCCTAATTTGTATTAAATTGGTGATTATGAAAACAGAGCTTCCATTTCTTAAGAGAAAAAAAAAAAGCCTCGATTTCTCCTGAGCACACACCCTACACCTGTTCTTATGACCTACTGAAAGCATCCAGTATAGAGGAGTTGTCTGATTCTATAATCTGTAACATACTGAAAACATACTGATTTCCATATTTGGAAGGGTTCTTAGATATAGTTTTGTTGGATTACACAGAATCAGGTATATTGGGATGAGGCACTTCCAATATCTTTCCCATGTTTTCTATATAATTTAGTCTAACTCTGGAGCAAGAGGAAGTCCATATCATTGATGAGCACTGACGGTGTGCTGGCTGGCCATGGTGCCTTTCTCAGTCTCCTTGCTAGTTCCTCACCCTTTACCAGATCTCTAAATACAGAGTTCCTGAGGACTCAGGCCTGGGCCTACTCTCTCCTTCAGACTCTCTCTCTAAGTACTGTCATTTACTTCCAATCCCCTTCCATACCATCCACAATCTGGTGACGTCTAGACTTACATTTAGCCCTGAACATTCCTGAGCTAACCAACCATTTACTTACTATATCACCTGGATAAACAACAGGCATCTCAAACCTAACGTGTCCAAAGCATAACTCTTGACGCCATTGTCTGCAGACAAATACTTCCTTCAATCTTCTGTCTCAATACATCATGCCACCGATTGCTTCAGTCCAAAAGCTAGGTCACAGCCTGTAGTCATCTGTCTCTCCTCATATTCCATCCATTACCAAGTCCTACTAACACTCTCTTACCACCTCTAATGCCATTCCCTCTAGCTCAACGCACCACCATCTTCCAACAAGACTGCTAGCCTTCTAGGTCAAACTACCACTGTCCCCCACCAAGATTCCCGTGCTAGCCTTCTAACGTGTCTCTGGCTGACACTCTTGCCCTTCCAAACCATTATTTGCACAGTATCCCTAAAAGAACCATTCCTAAAAGAATATTAGAGTATTTTTGCACAGGGTAATTCAACCAGTGGGCTTTATTCTATCACATGTTTTAATATTATAATTATTTCCACCATATATTTATCTACGAGGGGCCCCAATAAGACCCGGAATTATCTTTTGAAGGGCAGGGCTCTTGTTGTACACGTGGAGTTTGTTCCTCAGCATCAAACAGTCAATCAAAGTTCTTATCTGGAAGTTTTGAGAAGGTTGTGTCATGATTTGCAGAAGAAATGTCCCAAGTTATGGCAAACAGGTTACTGGTTCTTCCACCACAGCACACCTGCCCACACCACGCTGAGTGTTCAGCAATTTTGACCAAAAAAGACATGACCCCTGTGCCCCACCCTTCCTGTTCACCCAATCTTGTCCCAAGCAACCTTTTTTTTTTTTGTTTCCCCAGATGTTGCCTATGTGGAATCACTTGCCTTCGAGGAAACGTTCTGACGATGTGTAAGAGGTGAAACAAAAATCAGCAGAAGTACTAACACTCACGAGTTCAAAAATTGTTTTGAGCAGTGGAAAAAGCATCTCAATAGGTGTGTTGCATCAAATGGAGAGTCCTTTGAAGGTGACTGAAGTTTAAATATGTAAGAATAAACAATCTTTTATAAATAAATTCTAGTTTTTTGGCTCCCCCTCGTATGACAGTCATATGGTCAATGTGCCAGAGCAACCAGTGGCTTTCTGAAGACACAAGTGCTGTGGAGTCCAAAGAGGATGCTTCCTAGTCACGCCCCAGGCAGAGCAGAGCCCATGTGTAAGGACCCCTCTCCCAGTCCTGTAAGTTTCCTAGAGCCACCGTTAACAAAAAACACAAACTGGGAGGCTTAGAACATCAGAAACTTATTTCAAGTTCTGGAAGCTGGAAGCCTGAAATCAAGGTGACGTGAAGGCCACACTCTCTCTGGAACCTACAGGGCTTCCTCGTCTCTCATTGGCTTGTAGGTGCCTCACTCCAACCCTCCATCTCTACATGGCCATCTCTGTGCCATGCTGTCTCTGTGTCCAAGTTCCCTTTTTTGCAAAGACACCAATCGTCCTGAACTAGGGCCCACCCAAAGACCTCATTTTAACTTGGTAACTTCTGAAAAGACTCTATTTCCAAGTAAAGTCACCTTCTGAGGTACTGAGGATCAGGACTTTGACATATCTTTTTTGAGGGACACAATTCAACCCCCAACATTGCCCCCAAATCTTTAAGAAATGCCCCACCCTTGAATCTTATTCTCACTGCTTCCTCCTGCAGTGAGAATAAGATTCAAGCTCCCTTGCGTGTCAGAAGGGCCCAGCCACTCTTCCCTCCTTCTCTTGCCATGCGCCCCCACATCCAGGGGGCTTTCTGTCCCTCAACCACGACTACACCCAAGCCCTCTGCCCTTACTTCTTCTGGCTGGAATGTTCTCTCAGCTCTTCGGAAGGCTGGATCCGTCAGGCATCTGCTTAAATGCCAATGACTTCCGGGGCCTACTAGGACCCCCCAGCCAAGGCGAACACCACCCAACCAGCCCCTCCTCATCACAGCCCCTCAACTTCTGCTTCTCTTCACCAAACTTCCACTTTTTGCAATGATCTCGTTAGGCATTGCTTATTTATTACCCATGTTCCTCCTGCAGAGTTTAAGTTTGAAGAGAACAGAGACTGTCTCGTTCTCTGTGGTATCCCCAGCAGAAAGAACAGTGCCTGGTATTGCCTGAACTCTATACACACTTGGCAAACACACGAGTAGAATCTCCGCAAGGAAAGAGCTGAGAATGAAGGGGACCGAAGACCCTTCTCTTTCTTTGTGCCAGAGCCAGTATGCTACTTGGCAAGAAGACCTGCAGCGGTCCTGATCAACAGCTCCCATTCATGACAACGCAGAGGCCTTTGTGTAGAGAGAACGGCCCCAATTCGGCATCATGCAGCACACGTGTCGCACTCCCTGGATTCCAGAAGGGTGAGGAGTCCCGTGAGTCACTCCGCTGTCTCACCCAGTCCTCTTTGGGGTGGCCTCCATGGTTTCACTGAATGTTTGACCTAGGGCTCAGGTGTGGTCTGGGGTCGCTGAAGGAGTTTCCACTTGTGTGAAACCAGCTCGCCTTCCGGGGCTCTCAGACCACAACCTTGGCCTCATTATCACCATGTTGTGACCAAGAGAGCTAATCGGCCACAGGCATTGTCACCGTCGCTGCAGACAAGTGAAGCTGTGTCAAACATCTCCTTGGATGTGTGATGCTGCTGCGTTCCCTCTATTCTGGGGTTTGCATTTCAGCTGATTAAAAGAATATGATACGACTCCAGTTTTATAGAGCCCAGAGCAGCAGCACAGTGCACAAGCCGTAACTTCTGTTTGGCTTGTGGGCCTGGGCGAAGCCATTCAATACACTGCCAGCTGCCTTTTCTCCACACCAAGCACCTGCCTGCTCAAGTCACGCCAATGCCATGACCACCGCTTCACCTCAGGGGCGAAAGGGACTTCTACAGGGCCCCACGCATGCACACTAAACACCAGGATGGGCAAGGTGGAGGAAGAGGGGCAGGGCCTGGGAAGGGTCTGTCTTCTGCTCAGGATGGAAACTGCTTTTCTCCTGCTTGCTTTGAGCCAAAAGCTCTCCACTCCACGCAAAAGAAGTTCAGGTCGCCTTCCCAAAGAATTCCTCTTTACCAGTTCCACGTTTGCAGCCATAATTACAGTACTACTGGCCCAGTTTTTAGGGTCAAACGCTGTGAAGAGTTCAGGCCTTACTGTTGAAGTCACTTCGCGGACTTCCCTCGGGGACTTATTTGGTGACACTGGGGCACAGAACGCCAGACGACGCTGCTCCAACAGGCCCCAGAGGTGTCCTGAGCTTCAGATTCCTCTGGAGCCTTCGGTGAGCGCCGTTCCGCATGCAGGGCCCCTCTGCCCTTGACGGATTCCAAGCAGCTGGATACAATCAAGACACCATCCTTGTCACTTCATCTATAACTCTGCAGCTGACTACAGGATCAAAACAGAGTGGAACAGAGTGGGACGGCCTTCTCTCATCGCGCCCGCGGGTAGCACCAAGTCCATTATGTATATAGTAAAGTATTTTCCCAGCCAGAAGAGCACTCAAACGCTACCCCCCTCCTCACGCTGCCCCCCACTCTACCCCCCCATGCTGCCCCCTCTCCTCATGGGTCCCCACCTCCTACACTAATTCAACTTCTTTCCTCCTACCTCAGGGAAATGCTCTCGAATCAGTCTTTCGGCATGACTATCAGATGCCTTTATATATTACAGTGTGGGCATCTGAGGCATCACAATTCCAGCGCTGGAGTTCTAGAAACAGTACGTCCACAGTTACATTCAAATCATAAAGTCTGTTAAAAATTAAAGCTGTTTGTCAGGCAACCCCTTCGGGTTCCCTCCCACGGTGGGAGCTTTTCTGTTCTCTCAATAAATCCTGCGTTCTCACTTTCTGGCCGTCCGTGTCCCTCCTTCCTCCTGGGCATGAGACAAGAACCCTGACCAGAAGGGCTGCAGAAGATTGTCGGAGCCGAAGAGCCAGACAAACAAAACAAAACAAAAAACTGTGTGTCTATACTACTGGAGTCCTCCACATATAGTGTCCTCATTCGTTGTTAACTGCACATGTCTTTCAGAACAAATCCTCTCTCTGTTCTAATCCACTCTGCCGAGGTTGG